TTGGAACAGCTGTTTCAAGCTTAGAACATTTCAAAGTCAGAATAATTCCCAGCTGGTAATGAATCTCAAACAGTGCCTCGAGATAAGCACCCACCTTTCTTTCCTGTGAAGTGCTGCCAATAACAGAAGTGTCAAATAAACTAGAACAAAACCAACCGAAGTACAAAGAGCTTCAAGACTGAATCTGAACAGAATGAATGACTGTTTCTTGCAAAGGTTTCATCATCTTTGCCTATCCTTTATACCTTATGGGAGGGACAATCACTTCCCAGCCTTACTCTCAAATCGCCCCTTTTGTTTCAGCTGCTCTCACCTTCTAGCTGCTCTGCACACATGTGCACTGGGAACAGGCTCCCCTGGGTCCTCTGCCTCACTGCCAGGCTCCGGAGGCAGCACCCCACTCCCAGTTGGTCCTGGCCCCATCTCTGCATCGGATGCAGGACCCTCTGAGTCCACTCCAGACTCCCTGATTGGTCCCTGTTTTTCCCCACTGTCTGATTCCGTTGCTGTCTGTTTAGGCTGCTGGCAAACCACAGCATAGATCTTAAAGTAAGTTTTATTATCTGTGGAGATTGTTAGCCTAGACCTGTATGAGAATGATTTAATTGAGATGAACTGAGTATTGGGAATGGATAGCTAATATCTTTTCTCTCTAGTTTCAACACACACATGTATGTCTCATAAACAACAAATTGACCTTTAAAAAAAAAGCTTATGTGGACAGCAATGGAGGATAAAACATAGAACATGGAGTAATAGGGTTGGAAGGGACCTTGGAAGTCTTCTAATCTAAGTCCCTGTCCAAGCAGAAGTCTCTATACTATTCTGGACTAACTCTGTTCTTGAAAAACTGCAGTAATGGTGCACCCACATCTTTCAGAGGAAAGGCGTTCCACTGATTAATTGTTCTCATGGTCAGGAATTTTCTTCTTAATTCTAGGTTGGATATTTTAAGGAATTTATAAATATTTTAAGATATTACTGGAACACAGTAAAGTGCTACTGTCTGCCTGGGGCAAAGGAAAGGTAGAAAGCACTAAAAGGACTCAATAATTAGGACTAGAAAAGAAAGATACATATGGTTTATGTAATTGGTAACCCATTTATAGTGTCCCGAAGTGCCTTGACAAATCAACATCAAAAAGAATGTAGTTCAGTATGATTCTATCTCATTTATATACATCACACTGTGGTGTTTACATTGGTTGATAATTCAGAAGAATAGCCTATAATGTGTAAATAAGTTATTCATTGACTACTAAGTAGACTTTTATTTTATCCTAATATGTGTAAAGATGCAATACGCTTAGATTTTCATATTATATATAAGGCATGAAAACAATTTTAACAGGTTGAACAAAGATGTACTAATGCAGATTCATACAAGAATGGAAGAATATGTCAGTTCAATAGCAATGTAAATAATGGTTGATGTGCCCTGAAATCTTGAGAAGATTAACATCAACATTCAGATAACATCCATCT